CATGCCCCAGGTGAATTAAAAAAAAGTTTTTTAATATCCTTCATTTGATTTCTGCACTTTAAAGTATGTAGCACATGACTAAAGGTGACTTGAGTAGTGTAATACTGCTTAATCAAGTATAGAATTTTACTTACAGTACAGCCCATTACTACCTGGGGTAGTCTAAAAATTGAATAACGTGACCTTGTTAAAGTCTGCAGTTAACTTCGATTTAAGTGATATTCGGAAATGTATACTATTCAAGCAACTCTGAGAGGAAGTCTAACTTCTTAAAAAACAAGTAATCCAATCAGGTACTGTGGCTCACTTAAAGAAAATGCAGCTAATTCATTAGCAACTGTAAAGCTATGTAGCGAATGCTTTTTCCTAAGCATTGTGGCTTATTATTTGAAAGGCATGACAGGATCTACTCTTCTATGTAGCCTGTTTCTATGATGCAAGGAGTAGTGTTGTTTTTCGTGAGCCCAACGGCCCTTAACATCAAGATAAACAAATACTTTCAATACGCTCTCTTTAAATGACCTTCCCATGTCCAATGCTTTTCTCACTCTGGGTGAATGACAGGGGCAGGGGGTAGGAGAGGAAGTTCACTCATCCCCCCCTAATGTAGGTGGGGCTAAGGCCCACCTTGCATCTTAGATTTGGGGCTCACCTGATAGGATCTTCCTGTCAAAGATGAACACCCACATAGAAATTCTGAGACACCTGACCAGTTTCTAGCTCAAGTAACTCAAGTTTTCTTTAGCTCAGAGATCTGCACTTTTAAGCCTTCTTCTGTAAGAGTCTGAGAACAAAGGTACTAAGGGGCTTGGGAGAATGTCAAGGGAAGCTACCCAAGGGTATTTAAGGCTACCAGCTTGACTCGATCACACTTCTTAGTAGGAATGTGTCCATGTAATCTCAAACTCTTAAGCAGTCTCCTATTCTCCACTCCTTAAGATCCATTCTACCCTACCCAATGAGGTGATAATCCAAGTCCCAAAGAAGAAAAGGATTATCCTGTACTGGGCTATGGGATCCCATCTTCATGACCCCTTCCATGCTAACTGCTGCCCTGTGTCCCTGATCTAGCCTGACTGGTCAGAGGTCCAAAGAAATGCAAACTTCACCCTTTTGGCTTTTAAACTTTATTATCAAATTACTATAGAAACAATATATGCTGTGTGATAGAGGGGGGAAACACAGAATTTCAGTAGCTTAGGAAAATTACTTTGTTCAGCTTTCACTTCCAATCTATGACCTTATATGCACATGTGTTTACACACCTGGAGTAACAATGAACCTTCAACTTTGTGATTTTTTTATTGCCTGCCATATCATATTGTCAATGTGACAATAACTCTAATATTATGGTTCAGATTGGTAATTGGAAACAATTTGTAAGTGTCCTAACGAACACTAGAGATAATGTACACTTAGGAAGTCAAATTCTTGGTTTGTTTCAACAGCTAAATCAATATATTTCTCACCAAGAGCCCCTCCCACTTTAGTAGGAGCCTACTTTAGTTTTTTTCTTAAAACAAATTACTTAACTGACCATAAGCAACCTCCTAACCCACTGCCCCATCTTAAACAAATCCTCCACATTCTGGCAGCACTATAATGCAGTTAGACATTTTGTACAGAAATACATTCCAATGGTTTCTGTGGGATGAAACATTATATGGTCTCAATCTTTAGAATGGCTTTGCTGACACAGAAAGGAGTTTGAACACAAGTTTTCTCACTGACTACATTTAGAAGACTTGATTCTGGTAATAGTCCGCTTGTGTATGTACAATAAGGTGGCAGCTCTCTACTGAAGGATTCTTCATACTGAGTACTTACTGAACACTTTCAAGGTTTTCTACTTTAAGCACTCTGATGCAAAAGTGGGCAGGTGTTGGGGAAATACTTTCTCATGTTCATAGGTTTTATTCCAGTGTATGAGCTGCCACACTTGGTATATTCACTCATTGCTATCGAGTCAATGCTGACTCATGTCATGACCCCTGTGGGTTTCCGAGACTTTAATTATTTACGGGAGTAGAAAGCCCTTTCTCCTGCAGAGCTGCTGGTGGTGGTTTTAACTGCCAACCATACAGATCACAGCCCAACCACTACACCACTGAATTATCCCTGAGGCCTCTTTTCACATTTATTACTATTCTATGTTCCCTCCAGGATTTCCCCAATTATAGATTTAACCATGAGGATAAGGAATGTCTCACATTCAATTCACTGGAGAATTTGAAGAAATTTTTCTACTAACCAAGGAGAAGTCACACCTGAAGATGTACTATTTCACAGAGGTCTCTGAAAAGTTAGAAGAGTGTGGCCCATATTCATGATAGTCCTATGGGTTTCTCTCCAAGGTGTGTCCTTTGATGTCGGATGAGGGACGAGCTCCTTCTGAACATTTTCCCACACTGAGGACACTGGCTGGGAGTCTCCCTGCTATGGAGTCTCTGGTGTACTGCCAGATGAGAGTTCTGTTTGAAGGATTTCCCACATTCTGAACATTGGTATGGGGTCTCCTTAGAGTGAATTCTCTGATGTTTGGTCAAGCAGGAACTATCTCTGAAAGCTTTGCCACACTGATTACACTCATAGGGCTTTTCTCCAGTATGTGTCCTCTGGTGGCGAATGAGACCAGCAATGTTCCTGAAAAGTTTCTGACACTGGTTACAGCCATAGGGCTTCTCACCAGTATGAATCCTCTGGTGCCTGATGAGGTAAGCACTCTCAATGAATGTTTTTCCACACTCTTTACACTCAAATGGTTTTTCCCCCGAATGGATTTTCTGATGCACGATGAGATGAGAATTTCGGTTAAATGATTTCCCACACTCTGCACACTCAAAAGGCTTCTCTCCAGTGTGAGTCCTCTCATGTTGGGTAAGGTATGAGCCATCTCGGAAAGCCTTCCCACATTTGCTACATTCATATGGCTTCTCCCCTGTATGGATTCTGAGGTGAACAGTGAGATGGGAAATATCAGTGAAGGATTTCCCACACTCATTGCATCTATATGGTTTTTCCCCTGTGTGAGTTCTCTGATGCAAAATAAGAGATGAATTTCGGTTAAAGCTTTTTCCACATTCTAGACATTCGTATGGTTTCTCTCCCGTGTGAATTCTCTGATGCTGTGCTAGAGCTGACCCATCACTGAAGGCTTTCCCACATTTGCTACATTTATAGGGCTTCTCTCCTGTATGAATCCTTTGATGAACAATCAGGTTATAGTTCTTCGAGAAAGACTTTCCACATTCATTGCAAGTATAAGGTTTCTCTCCAGTGTGAGTTCGATGATGCAAAACAAGAGAAGAGTTCCGTTTGAAGCACTTGTCACATTCAGGACATTTATATAGTTTCTCTCCAGGGTGACTCCTCCTGTTTTCATTAAGCGATGAACTCAAGGCAAAGATGTCACCAAAGTCCTTACCTCCATAAAGTTTCTTGCCTCTTTTCATTATTCTTTGTTCACCAAGTGGAGTAATATGGTTGAAAGATGAAACACTATCAGAGTGTTTATATAGTTTCTCTTTTGTTTGGTGTCTTCCTAATTGAATAATGTCAATAGACTGGCTGAAAGCTTTTCCACAAACATCACTTTCACCAGTTCTCTTAGCTACACAGGCTTCGTTACAATCCAAATCTACCTGTGAGTCATGTTTGTGGAAACCATTTGCTGTAGGAACTCTCTGAGATGGTGGATGTTCTGGGCCTCGACTCAGATGTGCTCTGAATCCATGATAGTCACACATGACTTCCTGAGGCCCTGGTTTATCTGCAGTTAAAACCATTTGCCTCAAAATTCCTTCCTGATTCTCACAGTCCCAATTGTTGCATAGAGGAAAGAAATGAGGACCCTCTGTTGTAAATTCTTCCATTTTTACTTCACAGGATAGTTCCGCCCCAAGAATATTCTGAGCTGTCATTTTCAGACTTGCACTTCAGGCTAGAAAAAAGAAAGAAAGAAGTAAAATATATAAAGCTATTCTTTGAACAAGGAAACAATGTTGCTTGGAACAGGTGGTGGATGTGATTTTATATACACATTTTTTAAAATTCAGATTTGTCAATGGAGAAGTAAGAAAGTTGACAGAAAAAATAGATTCACAGAGAGCCAGGTTAACTTTTTCATGCTGTTAAAAGTTGGGAACAGTCTAGCTGAAGGGTCTGGCCTAGAGAAGAGAGCCAGAAAACAGGCTGGAGGGCTAGTATTGAGAGAAAATCATGAGAGCTGGGCATCATTACTCATGCTGCAACACTAGCTCAGCCATCTTGTGCTTTTTCCAATCATCCACTGCCCATACTGACAACCAGTCCACATTTCTAAAACCTGTTTCACAATGTTTATGATCATGTTGAACACTGAGTCTTCACCCGAATTTTGTGGTGAGAGTGATCATTCCTTCTGCAGTAGAAACGTTTAGATGTCATGTTACAGAGTCAGGGCTGTGTTTCTCATAAAAAAAGCTTAGGGGTTTTCTCACCATAAAGACACCTTCTATTGTCAGAATGGTCCCTCTTGTGATCTTCTCCCCCAAATCGGAAAATCTAGGTCTCTCAAAGGATTCGGCACTCAAGACAGGATTAGCTCAAGTGAAGAACAGAAAGAAAACCTAAAAAAACAGAAGCACATGCATAAGTGTCGCTTCTTACTTATCTATGAAGTCTAGGCAACTTGAAGGCCTTTAATGATTTTTCTGTTGAGCCTGACAATTGATTCTAGAATCTACATGACAGAATGAACATGCAATACAAACCAATACAGTTCTCAAATGTGACAAACAGGACATGTTCCCCACTAGATATCAAAACATGGTATAAAAAGACAGTAAGAGAGAGCAGGGTCAAAAAAAAAAAAAAAAAGAGAGAGAGAGAGAGAGAGAGAGGAGGGTCCTGGAACAGAAATGAATAAAGGCATGTGTAAATTAAGAATCTAAAATATATAGAATTGATATATGTTAAAAGTATAATTTCAATTAAAAGCCTTAACTTCTCAATGATTGGTGTCAGTTAATTGGTTGTTAATAAAAATCAGGCCCTTATCTCAGGAAATACATTCTTTAAAATTATATCTGGATATAAACCTTAACATAAAAAGCTTAAATAATATCACAACATGCAATACCATGAGGATAAGGATGGCTATATTTGACATAAAATTTTAAAACTGTCATACAGTAAAACCTGCAATAAGCCAAATTACAAGTGGTGGACTGTGAAAGAAAAGCATAAAATGTTAAAGTACTAAAGCGTGGGATATATAAATAATTTCTAGAGAAGAGTATGCACATACACAGAAGAATAAAGAAGGAAGGAAAAATTGACAAAGATCACAAAATCAATTCCTGGAGAAAGAATTGGAATGTCCTAAAAGTATAAAATTCTGATCATATTCACTATCATTTAAGTAAATACAAACTGTCACTTTAAAAACATCTAATATAAGCATCTCCTATGAGTGAATAGAAAACAAGTGGTACTATAAAGCCTGATAAGGTCCTGTGGGAATAATTTGGTAACCGGGCTGCTGGCAGTGTGATTTAATAGCAACAATTCCATGGGAGAAAAGATCTGGTAATTTGCCTGGGTAAAGATTACAGCCTAGGAGACCCCTTGGAGCACTCATACTCTATCACATAGACACCATGAGTCAAAACCTGATTCAATGGCACCCAATGACAACTGTGAAACATAAAATGGGCACACTCTACTACCCTGCAATCCCATTTGTAGGTGTCTCAGAAAGCATGAGCGCCAAGCAGGATAAATGAACATCAATCATCTCTAAGGCAATGATCTTAAAAGACAGCAAGAAGGCCACTGGCATATGAATGCAAATCATCATGATGAACCACTTGGTAGCAAAAATTAGAACCCACAGAGAATGGAAAATTACATTCAAAGTGCTGATAGGAAAACTGTCATATATACTATACTTCAAAAGTAAAGGTAAGATAGACAGTTTCAAAAAAATAAAATATATTTATACCTCCAATAATCCACTGCTGTCAATTCTGACTCATAAGGACTCTACAGAACAAAAGTGGTACTGCCTCATACAGTCTCCGAGACTGTAATCTTTCCAGAAGTAGCTATATTTCTCCTGTGGCGCAGTTAGTTGATTCAACCTGCTGACCTTTCAGGTAAGTCAAGCTTTTAACCATTGTGCAACTAGGACTCCCTATCGTTGTTGTTAGGTGTGGGTGAATCAGTTCAAACTCATAATGACTTTATGTACAACAGAAAACACTGTCCAGTCCTGGGTCATCCTCACAACTGTTATATTGAGATCATTGTTGCAGCCACTGCCATCAATCCATCTCACCAAGAGTCTTCCTCAATTCTTTGGTCTTCTTATTCAGTGTATAGCCCAACAGTCTTAGTCACCAAATAAATTAGAAGAGTTTGTTCTTTAAGAAAGAAACTAAATGCTGAAGGGAGGCATGGAAAGGAAAGGGAATTGGCGAATATGTATGTAAATCAATCTAGCAGTGACTGTATAAAATGCAGCAATAATACATTAAAGTGGTTAACAGCAAAGAGAAAAAAAGACTGGGCACAATGGCCAGTGAGATGAGAAAGGGAAAATAGAACCAAGTGTTCTGAAGTCTTTATGTTGTTTATGGTTGGTGCTAGACACGGTCAAGCCAGATATACAGAAACAAACGCAAAGTGTATCACCCTGGAGTATAGTGGTGCTGACCCAAGACAGTTCACCACCACGTGACACAGGGAATATGTATGGAAACATTTTTAGTTGTTTAACGAGCTAATGGGCGGATGGTGCTAAACACCCTGGAATACAGGGCAGGCCTCACCACAAAAAATTATCTGGCCCCAAATATTGATAATGTCGAGGAGAAAACACATTGATGTAAAGGGAGAGAAGAGTAATAAAATCTACTGACAAAAAGGGCAGGTTGTATAGGAAGTATAAAAGGGAATATATGGAGGTACACATCTGGAAATGGACATATAAAACCACTCTGGCAGGATGCCAACCCAAGCCAGGACGGTGCCTATCTCAGGGTCAGAGGGGAATAGTCTCAAGGAGAAAAGGTGACTTCAGCTTAATCTGTAACAGATACACCTTTTACTTAAGTAAGATAAAAACACCATCATGGGTCAGGCCGAGTGTCAGCCAGGCAGGGAAAAAAAACAAAAAAAACCCACCATCATGAAAATGAAAAAGCCAACTCACAGAATGGGAGAAAATATTTTCAAGTCACATCTGATAGGGGAATTTATGTCTAGGACAGATAAACAACTCTTGCAAGAACTTTAAAGATCTTGCAAAAACTTTAAAAACGGAGGCCTTAGTTTTCTAGAAGGAACCCTAAAGCTGTAGTGGGTTACCCATTGAGTTGCTGACTGCAAGGTCAGTAGTTTGAACCTAACAGCCACTTCGGGGGAGAAAGATGAGGTTGTCTGTTTCTGTACAGGCTGAAAGTCTCAGAAACCCAAGGGGCAGTTCTATTCTATAGGGTTCCTATGAACTGTAACAGACTTAGCAGTGGGTGTTTTTGTTTTTAGTTCTTGGTGCTACTATAAGAGAAATACCACAAATAGATAGCTTTCACAAAGAGAAATGTATTCTCTTGTCAGTCTAGGAAGGTAGAAGCTGTATGGCCGGATCAATATCAGGCCGGCTTCTAGCAGCAAGTGACCTTGAATCTCCCCCACCAGTGCGGAGCTGACCAGAGCTGGCTGAAATAACTAGCAGCGAGTGACCTTGAATCTCCCACACACACCTGTGGAGCTGACCAGAGCTGGCTAATGGTCCACTTTATTCTCGACCCACCTCTCTGCACCTGGCACGAATACACCCAGAACCAGGAAGACACCTTACATTCCAGAAACCTGGACATACCTGTATCTCCCAATCCCTGACTACTTTACCTTATATGGACTCAAGACAGCCCAGTCAACATGTTCCCTGGCAATATAAACACCACTCCTGTAGCCCGGACGTTGTGTGGGACTTCGCCCAGACTGGGTTTTTCTCCCTAATAAAGTCTGTTTGCTCAAATTCAACTGATTTGGTCTCTGGCGCCTCTTGACTACCTTACAGAAGTCTGAATTGAGGACACTGGCTCCAGAGGAAGGCTTTTGCTGCTCACAGTTTGAGAGAAAGATCCTTGTATACTTTAAGCATTGATTGGCTCGGCATTCCTTGGACATCTCCATTTGACTTCGCATCAATCTTCACCTGTGTCTAGAAGGTTCTCAGCACAGGACACCTTGAGTCTAGAGTATGCACTAGGCTCTTCTTTCTTGGTGGTCCTGAGGTCTCACTTCTCTGCTTGCTTCTCTAAGACAAAGGGTGAAGCAGAGAACAGCTCAGGAAAATTTCCCTCACATTAGATCAGAGCGGTGACCTGATAAGGGTTGTAACATCCTATCCTACTCCCTTTACAAATGATTGGCTGATCAGATCAGATCATGGGGAATGATTACATGATTAAATAACTACCAAATTACAACAGTGCATAACTGCCAAATAACTCAGAATCATGGTCTAACCAAGGTGGCACATATTTA